CAGCACCAACACTGGCCTTTGCAGTCCCCGACTTTCTTCATTCTGTTCTTGCGTTCCTTTCGCTGTTTTCTTGATGTCTTTTTCTTCTCATCAAGGCCATGTCTTGCAAGTCTATGTCTGGGTTCACTTTTCTTCGCATAATCCAAAGAATCGTAAATCATGCCAAAGCCAGTTGTCTTGGCACCACCAAAATGGGTTCTGAACCCAGACCCAAAGATGGCAACTGGTGGGGTCTTGGACAGCTTGGCCAGTTTTCCCCGAATTTCTGTCTTAGGTACTGTTGCCTTCCTGGGGTGAAGGACAGCAATGACCATTTGTTTCCTCTGAAGTGTTTGATTGGTCATGAATTTCCGGGTTCGGATAGTTACTGTGTCATTCATGATGGCGGTGTGTCCTCAGGCAGCCAGGGACGAAAAGAGCTGTGTTGAGTTCTTCTATATTCTTGCTGATGGTCTGTCTAGTTTTTTTCCATCAGCTATGGAGAAGAGTATTGAAGTTTGTGGCTGTAATTGTGGACATGTCTGCTTCTTCTTTCAGGTACATCGAATTTTCGTTCCGATGTTCTGTATCTCTGTCATCTGGCATAGACACATTTAGGGCAGCCATTCTTTAGAATTTAATGACCCTTTTATCATTATATAATAGCCTTCTCGGTCACTGGGCATTTTCTCTGAAGTCTACTTAATCTGATATTCATATTGGCATTCTTACTTTCTTTGATTAGCATTTGTATAAATTCTCTTTCTTTTAAAGTTGTTTTTAGGGTTTTGCCATAGGGCGGTGTGTGTGTGTGTGTGGGTGGTTGTGGGTGTGGGTGTGTGGTTGTGTGTGTGTGTGTGTGTGTGTGTGTGAGAGAGAGAGAGAGAGAGAAAGAGAGAGGGAGAGGGAGGGGGGAGGGAGGAAAGGAGGGAAGAAGTGAGAAATCATCCTCCAGGGGGATGCTCCTCCAGGGATGCTGGGATCCCTTCTCCTCCATTTTCCTCTTGGGATTTTGGTCCTGTGGGCACATACGCCCAGTATGATTTTCAAGTCACTGGGTCTGGGACTCAAACCGTGGTCAGCCATGTGGGAGTCAAATTTTATTTTATAAAAAAATTTGCTAGGGTGCATGTGCTCGCCAGAGAGAGAGAGAAAGTAAGAAATCACCCTTGGGGACATGACCATAACACAATCCTGCTCCTCCATTCTCCTCTCAGAACACGTATACACACACACACACACACACACACACACACACACACACACTCACGTGTTTTTCTAGCTGCCAGAACAGGGACATGAACCACATAGATGGCCATGTAGGATCCAGTTGCCTTAATCATCACACCAGAGGCTGTCCCTCTTTTCAAAAAAACTTTTTAAAGATTTTTTGACACACTGATTGTACATACGGATGCGGTTCAATGTAATTTTTCAATATGTCAATGTAATGTGGAATGATCAAATCGGGATCATTAGCATACCCATCCCCTTTGATGTTTATCATCACTCTGTATTGCCAACATTCAGAATCCTTTTCTAGCTGGCTTGAAATGCGTAATGCCCTTAGGGCTTGGGACCAGCAGTTGGTGTAATGGCTATGTCGCTGGACTGCCACATAGTCGACCATGGTTCGAGTCCCAGACCTGGTGGTTTAAACTCATGCCGGGCGCATGTGTGTGCGTGCCCAGGATCCCGAGAGGAGAATGGAGGAAAAGGGATTGTGGCATGGCCATGCTCCTGGGAGGTGATTTCTCATTTTCTTTCTGTCTCTCTGGTGAGTGCAGAGAAATCTCTCCAAAATAAATAAATAAATAATATCCTTAGTGCTCAAGATCAGATGAAGATAGGGTGTGCATACATCACATTTAAAAATTAACTGGAAATGGATTACAGGTTTATCCTAACTCTTGAAATCAAGCACAGCAAGTTCTCCAACTCATTCTTTTTCAAGGCTGTTTTAGTTATTCTTTTTTTTTTTTTTTTTTTTTTTGAGAGGGTTTTGCTATAGGGCATGTGCGCTCGCCAGAGAGACAGACAGAAAGCGAGAAATCACCCCCCAGGGCGGATGGCCACAGCCACAATCCCTTCTCCTCCATTCTCCTCTTGGGATCTTGGACACACACGCACACGCACCTTGTGTGAGTTTAAGCCACTGGGTCCGGGACTCGAACCACGTTCGACTACATCAGAGTCCAGTGACATAGACATTATACTAACTGCTGGTCCCTGGAGTTTTCTTTGTAGAAATTTTTTTTTTTTTTTTGGAGAGGTTTTTGCTATAGGGCACGTGCACTCACCAGACAGACAGAGAGAGACAGAGAGACAGAAAGCGAGAAATCACCCCCCAGGGGGGATGGTCACACCGCAATCCCTTCTCCTCCATTCTCCTCTCGGGATCTTGGGCACGCACGCACACGCGCCCGGCGTGAGTTTAAGCCACTGGATCCGGGACTCGAACCGTGGTCGACTACGTGGGAGTCCAGCGACATAGCCATTATACTAACTGCTGGTCCCGCACCTGGTGTAAGTTTTAAGCCGCTGGGTCTGAGACCTGAACCACGGCAGACCACATGGGAGTCGAGCAATGTAACCACTATGCCATCTGCTGGTCTCCCATTTCAGTAATTTCTGCTCTCTTATTTTCTTTCTTTGGATTAGAATAGATGTAATTTGTTCTTGTTTGTTTGTTTGTTTCTTTCTTTCCTTTTTTTTAGAGATTTTTGCTATAGGGCGTGTGCCCTTGCCAGAGAGACAGAAAGCGAGAAATCACCCCCCAGGGAGGATGGCCATGCCGCAATCCCTTCTCTCATTCTCCTCTCAGGATCTCGGGTATGCACGCACACGCGCCTGGCTTGAGTTTAAGCCACTGGGTCCAGGACTTGAACCATTGACTACATGGGAGTCCAGCGACATAGCCATTAGGCTAACTGCTGGTCCCATTGTTTCTGATTTCTTAAGTAAAGTTGAGCACATGTACACTATGGGATATTACTCAGCCATCAGGAAAAACAAGACCCTGTTATTTGCTACAAAGTGAATGAATATAGGAGATTTAATTCTAAGTGATGTAAGCCAGTCTTTGAAAGACAAACACTGTATATCCCTGCTCAATATATACCAAATGTTTGCACTCTCTGGCAGAAATGGAAAGACTTGAAAATATAATAGTAGGGAGGACAGTGAAGATACCAGAGACTGTATGGGAGGGAGGTGAAGAATAGAGGGAATGTTTGACTATGGGTGGGGGCTCATGGAAGAAACACTGAACAAACGTTAGAATGTGAAGTTCTCTGTTGAAAATGGTATATATGGTAATGTCCTTGACTTGTCATGCACTGCATGTATAATCTGAACATTATATTGTGTGCTATAGAACGCTTATACACAATTCTTATGCACACTTACACAACAATTAAGTGTTCATAAGGAAATCATAAAATTAAAAAGAGATGAATGAATGGAAACCCTTCATTTCTAATGTAGGTATTCAGTGCTGTAAAAACATCTCTAAGTATCATTATAATGGCATCCACACACTTTGATGTGCTGTGTCCCTTTTCATTCTGGATACAGTATCTTTTAATTTCCCTCTGAATTTCTTCTGTGACCCACTGCATTATTTACCAAAGTGATATCTACTTCCCAACAATTTGGGCAATTTCCAAATAACTATCCGTTACTGATTTCCACCCTAATTCTATTGTGGTCCGAGAACATTTTGTTTTCATTAAATCCCTTTTAATTTACTAAGACTTGTTTTGTGGCCCAGAATATCTTGGTCAATAGCCTATGGGCACTTCCAAAGAATGTATATTCTGCTATTGTTCGACTGGGTCACAGAAAAACATAGACAATATATCATGTGTTACATAGAAAAATACATCACGATTTTCCTGACAACCCAATACAAATGTCAATTAGATCTAGTTGCGTGACAGTATTTGACAGTGATCCAGTTTTAGTTTGAACTGAAAAAAGGAAACTCTTAGGTTCTAGGCAGAGCTGAAAAACAAAGCATCCCAAATCCCACCAAATCCTTTAAAATATTCCATTTAATAGAATTTAAGTAAATAAACTAATTAGAGGAAGCCAAAAGAAGAAAACCAATAAATTTCATGCCAGGAGATAACGAGTTATTGACCCAAGTTAGAGATTGAAGAATATCAGTGCTGAATGTATCCTCAGAGACTGGACCAAACATCTTACCTCATCTTACCTTTTTTTTTTTTATTTAAATATATTTTTGTTATAGCATGCATGCACTTGCCAGAGAGACAGAGAAAGGGAGAAATCATCCTCCATGGAGGATGGCCACACCACAATCCTTTCTCCTCCATTCTCTTCTCAGGATTTTGGGCACGCACACACATGTGACTGGTGTGAGGTATAAGCCATGGGGTCTGGGACTTGAACTGGTCAGCCACGTACATCACCTGCTGGCCCCATCTTAGTTTTTTTCTTAGGTTTTTGCCATAGGGTGCATGCACTCACCAGAGAGTGACAGAGAGAAGGAAAGTGAGAAATCACTCTCCAGGGGGATGGGCACACCACAGTCTCTTCTCCTCTGTTCTCCTCTCAGCATCTTGGGCATGGATACACACATGCCTGGTGTGATTTTCAGGCTGCCGGGTCTGGGGCCTGAACCACGGTCGGCCATGTGTCTAGCGCCTTAACCACCACACCAGTTGCTGGCCCCTCAAATATCTTACTTCATGAGTACTCTAAAAGACTAAGAGGTATGCTGAAGGCGACACGCAGAATGACGCTGCCCTCAGAACTGTTTACCTGCTCCACGGTGCAGAAGATGTGAGCGTCATCCTGCTGGAAGCGCCTGACGCGGGTCAAGCCGCTTAAAGTCCCTGACAGTTCATTCCGGTGCAGAACTCCAAAATCGGCAAATCTGAGAGGCAGTTCCCGCCAGGACCGCGGGCGATGGGCAAACATGAGGCTAGAAAAGATGCAATAAATGGGACCAGCAGTTAGCGTAATGGCTATGTCGCTGGACTTCCATGTAGTCGACCGTGGTTCGCATCCCGGACCTGGTGGCTTAAACTCATGCCGGGTGCGTGTGCGTGCGTGCCCAAGATCCTGAGAGGAGAATGGAGAAGGAATTGCGGCGTGACCATCCCCCCTGGGGGGTGATTTCTCGCTTTCTATCTCTTTGCCTCTCTCTGTCTGGCGAGCGCACGCAGTGAGAAAAAACCAAAAAAAAAAAAAAAAAAAAAAATGAAAAGATGCAATAAATAAAACACAGCTTTGACACAGCACAGAAGAAACCATTGTTTACATATGAAGAAATCACAATTGAGCTTCAAGATCTATAAACTCCTTATTCTGATCCTTAGATCTCCAGGTTTAAAATAAAATTCATCTGGGGACCAGCAGTTGGTGTAATGGCTATGTCAGTGGACTCCCATGTAGTCGACTGTGGTTTGAGCCTAGGACCCAGTTGGAGGAGTCCGACCCGGCGGGGCTCCAGGACCCGTCTGAGCCCCTTGACCTTTGAGCATCGCTTCCGGTCGGTTCAGTGAGCTGGCAAGGCCGCGACTGTACGCCCCCCGACCATGGAACAAGCTTGGGTCACTTAGCATGTTG